ATACATACATATATGTCCTTAGCCTTTCCAATTCTTTCTATTTCATTCTTTCAAAAATTGTGTTATGTGTATAGATGTATATCCTTTGCATATGTGTGTGTGTGCGTGTGTATGTGTATATATATCCTTTGCATATGTGTCTGTGTCTTTAGCCTTTCCAATTCTTATATTCTCTATATTAGTTCATATACCTGTATCGTTTGTATTATGGAATACAATGCTCCTATACATCTATTATTATACATCGCACATATATAATATATTCATTCTTGGGTCGAAGGCTAACTTCCTCTGACACTGTTCACCAGCCCTCTCCCGAGTGCCCTTTAAACTAGATCTGTAGCAGGACCACGACAGAGCAACAAAGACACGGATCAGCCAGACACTAAAAATCACGATCGCCAGTTAAAGGAAATTCCTCAGGATTTTTTTTTTCATGGGCTTCCCAAGCAGATCTGGGCTACAACTCGCATGGGACATCTTCCCCTCCTTCTTCCCTAAATCGGTTCCCACCATCAGGTACCTCCGGCTTCTTCTGCTTGCCTGTAATCATCTCGAGGGCAAGGGGAGGTGTTCTGCAAATGAGCCTGGAAGTCCAAACAATTAACGTGAAGGAGAGAATAGGAGTGGAAATGCGTGCAGCTCAGCATTTACAAATCAGCACTGACTTGCCCATTTTCCAGACAACCGCCTCTTGATTGTTACAACCAACTCCAGGCGAGATTTGTTATATTAAGGGGAGACGGGCTCAATTTAGCTTCTTTTGAAGCTCTGGTATTTCGAAGCTTTCTTTGCTGCTTTCTTGATCGTTCATTGAAATGCACCCGTTGGACGTGACAAGCCGCATCCCCACTTCTTCCTTTCTTTCCCAGGGTTAGTGCCCTTCATCAGGTTTGGATATCTCAGCGGGATTTTAATCACTGCTTCCCTGGAAATTATGCAAAGAAATGATTTTGCGTAGTTTATCTCAACTTGTATAACATGTCACAAACAGCAGGGCTTGCCTTCTAGTAGGTGTATTTTATAACGGGGAAACCTGTCATCTGTTTAAAGCTGCCTGTTTCTATTGCCCGAGCTTGTCTATTTAGCAATGTCCCGATGCTTACACAAAGCATGAGCTGCCCTCTTCCAATGCCGAAGCTAATTAAGCTCCACGACATTGCATCGCAGTCACAATCCCCCAAATACATGTCTGGGAATGACATTTTTCCAAATGCACCGCCTGGATTTTTCCTACACAGGTCTGTGCACAGAGGAGGCTGCTTGATGCATAGGACTGACACAACAACCCCCCCAAAGTAGGATATCGGAGGCTAGGGAGATGGACCCTCTGTTATATCTGTATTCTGGAATTGATTTTGCCCCTCTTAAACAGGAGTTCATCAGGGCTGGTTTTCTCACTGCCCGTTCAAGGACTACCACACACTTGCTGGTTTGAATGGCTCTAGACTTAACACAGCCCTTTCCCTGAGCTGGTACATATGATTTCAAAGGGAATGGGTGTGTAGGTTGTAGCCCTGTTGGTCTAAGGACACAGGCAGACAAGGTTCTTTGGGTAAATCTCGTATCTTTTATTAGACCAGCTCAAACAGTTGGAAAAATTCTTACCCCGCTCGGGTAGTCTTGTGGGGGGGGGGGGGGGAATCGTCTTTGCAAGCTTTCGGGTACAAATGCCCTTCCGAAGGCTGAGGAAGCATCTGCAGTTGGTGTGTTTGCTCTTCCTGGGTGGAAGGGAATTCAAAGGGAATTAGCATCTTCCCCCGGCTCCACAAAGCCCTGGCTGGGATGATCTATTTGAGGCTGGTCCTGCTTGGAGCCTTGACCTTCCAAACCTAATATTTCCATGATGCTACAAACAGTATGGCATGTCCACATTCCCCCTCCCCTCCAAAAATGAGGGCTAGATTCCGTTTTAAAACAGCTTTGACACACACAGAGCACTTGTTCCAGATGTGCTTGGGGATGTTTAGCTAACCCTTCTGTGCTTTCTCCAGGGATTTTTTTTGAGGGGGGCAGAGGAGGCTGATTTAGGAACCTCCACCCTGTGGACTGTTACTTCCCTTCTTCCCAGCCCTACTGGCGGCTCAGAACAGCTCAAGCTGGAGCAAGCAGCTGAGGACTTGCCCACCTCATCACTGGCTGAGGACAGCCCGAGGGAAGTTTGCCCGATCAGCTGCGAGTGCTTGAGAGAGAGAGAGAGAGAGGTCTGACCAGGTGCTCATTTCTACTTCCTTTGATTCCCCCTGCTCCCCAAATCTTCCCCTTCCTGTTCTCTACCCCCTCTCCAGGCTGGAGCTGAATGAACCCATCGCTTCCCCTTATGTCTCCTGCATGTGGCAGCAAGGGAAGTTTGGGTGAGATAAGAGGAAAAAAACTCTCTCACGAGGAGCGAGGTCAATGACGCCCTGCACCGGGCTACCCAGGGAGGCGGTGGCATCTCCCTGCTTGGAGGTATTTAAACCACTAGACAAAGCCTCTGCTGGGCTGATCTGGGTGGGAAAGGTCCTGCTTTGAGCAGGGAGGTGTGGACTAGATCAGTGGTTCTCGACCTTTTTGATACCAGTACCCATTAAGGGCCCCTCACTCCCACCTCCCTGTGTGTGGGGCAAGGGGGGCCCAAGTAGCCCCTTGCAAGCTGCAACTCTGCCAGCCGGAGGGGCGAGGGAACCCACGCTTTCCCACGCGTTTCTCCTTCAAAGGAGAACCCGTCTGTAAAGTTTGTTGACCCGTTTTTAGAGTTTGGTCCTATGTTCTTCTATTGACTCCTCCGTGAAACCCTATGAAATACGAACTTTCATTTCTGGCCAGGAGAACTTTTAGGATCTTTTCTCCAATGCTCGATAAAGGGTGCTTGTGCCCGAAAGCGTGCAATTAAAGACATTTTTTTTTTTGGCCAAAATCTTGTTGGTCTAATAAAAGATACCCTCTCTGCTACGAGTCGGGATTGTCTTTTCCTCCAGCTCGATACGGCTACAACCCGGATCCCTTCCTATATTCTTGGTGCCCTCCTGAGCGCACTGCCTCCGCCGACCCCCGCCTCCCCCGCGCCGGGCTCGCCCAGCCCCGCGCTCCCAGCCCGAGCAGTTAAGCCGGGTTTGTGCGCGGATACATTTCCCTGCTCCCTCTCTCTCCAGTGTCTATCAATCAGAGCCGCGGCTTCCCTTTCATCTTCCCCCGCCCCCAGCCTCCCGGCGGCAGGGAGGGAGGGAGGGAGGAGTGGGTGGAAGGGATGTTAAAGTTACATCGCAGAGGCAGAGCCCGGCTTCCACTCGGCCAGCCGGCCGCCCAGCCCAGCCCAGCCCACTTTCCGCCTGGCTCCTTCCCCCGAGACAACCGCAACCACAAC